CCCATTACCTCATATGCAGTAGCCGGGTACACGGACTGGTACGTCGTAGAAGTTTAGTCTCTTTCTCCGGCAAGAACACTAACGCCCGGGCGACGTTGAACTTGTAGCCACAAGAAATAGCGTCATGATGACGTACTTCATGCTGCTTGTCGTGGGAGATGCGCATCGTTACGCGAGGAAGGCGTTAACTCCTCGCATAGAATATGCTGCCGTAGACCCTATCCCTCAAGCTCAACCACAGCTAAACCCGATACATCGTAGCATCATATCCAGCTTGTAGAAGAATCGAAAAAAAAAACTTTTTTCTTGGTGGCGAAGCGGACCCTCTTTATTGTGACTCTCCAACTGCTGTTCGTGGATGGCGACATGGCGACACAGACAGACAAAATCTAGGGTTTGACGTCGGTCTTATCCGCCGCAGGAGGTGGAAGTTACACTAAAAGTCGGGGAGGGGTCGTGATTTGTAATTCCCTACGGAACCGTACTTGAGGCGACATGAGAGTTGCACTGCCGTAGCCGAGGTTATTAGTCGGCAGGGAAACACAAAAAACGAACTCTTCGGCGAACCGGACCCTCTTTTTTTCAACTGGCCAACTGTTGTTTGGATGGCGAGACAATTTCCGGTCTTCTTGTCGTCACAGGAGGCGGAAGCTGATGCTCAAACTCGGGGAGGGGTCATGGTTTGCGATTCCCTATCGAACCATACTCGCTCGGGACACCACGTCGTGGACATGACAAGAAAAACATCCCCCCAACGAAAACTGCTGAAATTCATGGATCACATCATCTTGTACACCCCGGGCACGCAAGGACGACGAACGGACCACCCGCACCGTCATCGTGGTTGAGCGGGGGAACCCAAAACAATGAAACAGTCGCGGTTCGCGTTGTTCTGGGGCCCTACCGGCGAAAAACACCGTCGACGCTCTGAACCGCTGGAAGCTGTCACACAGCAAGCACTGCATGTGCGGCGAATCGTAGGGGGCATGCGCATTGCTTGACGGAAAGAGGCGGCGCACATCGCCTCACATGCAGCAACCGGGTACACGGTTAGCCTCCTACTCAGCAAGATGCAAAACGATTGCCGTTGACGTTCGATGTTATCGGGACCCTAACGGCGAAAATGCAACAGAGAGAGAGAGAGAGAGAGGTAGACGAAAGGAAGGAAGACTCGAGAAGACAAGGCATGAACTCTCGAGAAGACACTCACTATCATCCCTCTGGCCCACCGCAGGCTTGAACAAGTGTAACCAACGGCGACATCCGATGTGCGCTCAGCAACAACAAACACGACAAATGAAAAATAGTCGTCGTTTCCGAACTGCTGTGGAGATAGATACTGCTGTAAGTTGGTGGAGACTTTCTTTCTTTTCTGGTATGAAGTGGCAACAAAGAAGAACACGACTATCTGTGTAGACTGAAGCACGACGGACGAAGTATTATCTCAATGCGCTTGCCGTCGCGAGATGCGCACCGCTACCGCTATACGAACGAGCAGACTGTTGTCAACCTGACTACGATCACCGTACGACCATTGCCGCACACTCCGAGCGTAACAGCAGCAACCGCAGCAGCAGCCGCACGTGTACAATTTTTGTTGTTGTTGTTGTCTTCACATTAAACTCGTGTCAGTTGCTAATCCCAAAATCTAGAGAAGACGGGGTCACAAAAATGCTAGAGCCATCAGAAGATCCAACGAACACGCAAACTAGCAAGAAAAGGGTACACAAGCCCGGAGAGGTACCCCTACATCCCTGCAGCGTTTGCGTGCCAAAAAACTGAACTACCCGTCCACAAACTACATTAGACTACAGCAGCATCACCCCTACTGCTGTCCTAATTTTTACCAAAATGAATGTCGACTACATCCAATGGTCACTCAAGAACAAACGCAAAAAAAAAAGAAAACGTGGCTCGCAGCACGCAGGACCCTCTTCAGCTGTTCAACCGGCCGTTTCGATGGCGGAACAGGCAAGGGAACAGTCAAGGCCGACTCTTGCCGGCCACAGGAGGCGGAAGCTGCTCAAACTCGGGGAATTCTCATGATTTGCGATTCCACGCCGAACCATACTCGAGGCGCCACGAGATTTGCACTATAGCTCGAGATCAGCATTTTAGACCGGGTCGGGCAGGGGTGGGGCATGCGAATGAAACTTCCACGAATATTGAACGATGAGACTGAAGCTAAAGCTTCAGAACAGAATACATAGACTAGTCTACACACATTTTAACGCCTTCGTTTTGTTTCATCACCTGCTTCCAACACGACGAGATCCATCCCCGCTTGCTGCAGGTCGGCCCCGGCCGCGAGGCCAGCAATCCCAGCCCCCACGATCACACAGTCACGTATCTCCTCCTCCCCATCCTCCTCGCCAGGAGGCTCGCTTCCGTCACCCCCCGCCAAGTCGAGGAGAAGGAGGTCCCTGGCGCCTCCTCTACCTCCTCTAGCTGCTGCGACGCCCACGCTGTGCGTGGTCTCCACGCAGTGCTGACGAGTCGTCGGCCGGCGCTCCAGGAGCCTGCTCCGGGCATCAGGAGCAGCAGGCGGTGGTGGTGGCATCGCGAGCTGCCTGGGGGGTGCGGCAAGGAAAGCGTCTGGAATACCGTAGCGCAGGTGAGACACCTCGTAGTCATGGTGGTGTTGGGCGGAAGAGGGCATCGCCCGGGCCTGTGTCTGTGAAGTGGAGAGGTGCGCGGGATGAGAGGTCTATGTGCTGATTCTCTCGATTTTCTCGATGGAAGAACACAATTATGCTCCCAAGAGGCGAGACTGTGAACTTCAACCTGGCAGGGCGGCAGCTCAAAGGAGTGCGATGATACCGAGCGGGCTTGACAAACCTGCAGGTACTATTTTTAGTCCATTTGCGTCAACACTGCTGCCGCATCGCATGCACGGGTAGTTCGATAACTCTTGTGCAGAGCGGAAGGAGTGATGATGAGCAGAGTTTTGTACGAAAGTTGGTTCTGCATTCTGCGTTTTTTTTATAATTTACGCACATACCCGTCCTTTTTCTTTTTTTAGGAACAATAAAGCTGCTGGTTGATGACCTGTTGATGACCCCTTCGAGGATGTTACAGCAGCCACTTTCTCGCGTTCTCGCCCTTTCGCACACATCGCGTCGGCTGCTGCAAGCAGTGAAGAATATAGCAGCGGAGAAACTGGCTCTGCACTCATGCGACAGCACAACGCTCCCAACGCCAAGAATGGAGCGTGCCTACTACTGCTTGCGATGCCAAATCAACACCGAAAGGAGAGAGGACTACGTACTTTATTTATTATTTTCTGAAACAACTGCAGCGGGAGCTACGGCGGTACATACGACGTAGCTGGAGGTTGTGATGAACATCTTTTTTTTGCAGCGAGGGCCCATCGCCAGCACCATGAGCAACGTACATTTCAAATGTGTGTGCTGCTCATTGCAAAATCATATATATCTGGAGCGTGGGAAGTGTTGTGTGCGCAACGTTGGCATGTGGAGAAGTTCTCCAAAAGTTAAAGTTGTGTGATAAGAGAGATCCTCGACCCTGCTTGTTGTAACTCTGTAGACTCTTCGGACTAAAAAAACTCTCCACAGATTTTTACATCGTTTTGAGGGATCGTTCCTGGCAGTCTCGCCAAACCCACGATACGATGAAAAACATTCTCCTTAGTGGAAGGAGGATGTTGTCAGAAAAAGACTTTCCACTTTGTATGCTATTAGTCAGCGCTGACAAGAGTAGTCTAATGGTTGCTCAGCAAAGGATTGTATACTCTCTCGGCTCGTGGCCGCCCGGCTGGTCACTGGGATTAGAAGTGGAGATCTCGGGGACGGACCCCTCGCCAGGCGCTGCCGGAAAAAGAACTACGGCAATGGTGCTTGTTAAAGTGACCAGCCGGGATTCGAACCCGTGCGTGTATCCTTTGTTACCAAAAAAAAAGTGCAATTGTTTCGTGTGGGCGAAACGCATCGTACACATGTGTTCGCGAGCTATGCAAACCCCAACAACCTGTTCCACCGATGAATGTCTATCGCTGTGTAGTTAAGCCTCTTACGATTGCTTGCACAACAAGTTGAAACATGTTCCTATTTGAGAGGCAGGTCCTAGCCTAGTGTAGTACGGAGTATTCATCTTCCGGACATACACACTGTTCGAGAGGTCATCGGCGTTCCCTCGCGGACATCCGTCGATCTTCCTGTCTCGCTCGTCGTACTTCTTACTTTAGTACATGTAGATCCGTACCGTACTGCCCCAACTGAAGGAACACGCATTCCGTGGTCAATCACTAGTAGTCTACGCCTAATATGCAGGTAGCAAAAAAAAAGCAAACCGAAAAGGTCCGCACATTTCACCAAAAAAAACATTCGCGATGGAACGACATAGGTACACGGCAATAGGCCCCAGCTTTCAATGAAGTCATGTGTGGTGTCGACCTCTCGAAAGGACACGGGTGGATGGAGCCCATCGCTCGCCCTTGCCACGCGAGGCAAGAAAAACAATAAATGTACAACCAAGAGGGAAGCGAACTTACCCACCAGCAAATCACAAAAATCGAGTGCTTCTATGATACCTTTATGTAATGTAGCGCCGGGTTTGCACTGACTGGCCATGCCATGATGTGCCATGCCATTTCCCCACACCTCCCTGCAGCTCTAGATCAAGATACAACAAAGGATACAACGCCCTTGCTCCGTTCCACTTCAAAACAAACCATTGTCCCCCGCACCACTACTACTTCCGTGCTTACGGTGTACGTGCGTAACGACCAGGTTCACCCTAGTCGGAACAAACAGAGTTACGACAGCCACCTTTCAAATTGACAACCAGCAGACATGACTATAACCGGAAAAAAACAGAACAAGAAGACCACCAAGAAATACAATACATCGGGGACGGGTGCCTTGGAAGAAAGGGGAGTGGGCAAACGAAATGGCGGCGGGAGAGGTGATGCTCGTCTGTGTTTGGTGGCGGTGTGTGAATCAAGAATGCTCGAACGGCATTATGCGCGGCTTGTGCTGTCAGGCGCCAACATGAAATGAAAAAAGACAAATCAAACTCGTGGTGTCTAGTCTACGTAAGCCTGACTCTTCCAGGATCCAATCATTCGTTGGGATACTATGTAACGCATACAGCACACGCAAACCCGGCGCAGCCTCTCGTCCGAACGGTCGAACAGTGGCGTTGTCGACCTTGGTGCTTGCCATCTGGAGTTCGACCAAGCTTCCATATGTAGTAGCAGAGTTTTTTGGCATTGGCCCCGCTCGGTACGGCCAGCAGGAGACATCGTGGCTCGAAGCCGTATTGTTTCCTATTTATAGCTTGAGCAAATATATCATCCTTGTCATGGGAACCTCTTGATCGCCACCTCGCTGGAGCAACAACCGCGCGTTGCAGTCCCTCCGTGCTGAGGCCACATCAACACCGCCCTATCACTGGCGTTTGCTATCGGGGAGGCGGTACGATACCGCCGAAGCCGTGCTCGTCGCCCCGAAAAATCAAACGCCGAGAATAGCTCTGGGGGACAGGGGCGTCCGAACTCCGGCTTGTTAGTACCGGCAGCTGGACCAGTACTGCAGTGGGACAAGACAGGGAGGAGCATCATAGAGAAAACTGGTCAAAATATCAATGCTGATCGGTAGAAGTGGCCGGTTTTTGCGAAGCGAGATGTTTCGGGGAGGGTAGTACAGAAGTACCATCACAAGCGTCCTTGTCCGCTTGCCCTTGTCCTGGATACCGGTAGACATTTACGTTTCTGGCAACGGAGGGCGGGGGGAGCTTGAGTGACCCTCTTTAGCGAAAACACACCAGAGTTACACACACGTCCCAGAGGGGGGACGTTTGGGTAGCGAGACTGTAATTGTTTATCCAGTCACGTTCGCCCTCGGGAGTGGAGGTTCCGAAGGACAGAAATGGGGTAATATGCGATATAGGTCTAACGGCCGACAGCACATATCGGGATCGCATGTCATGATGTCAAGGAAAACAATGGATTGCGGGGGAAAGCAACCGCGCGACAAATCTGAACAAAAAATCCAACAATACCCGAAAACACTTTCCTTTTTCTTCATTTTCCAGATCATCAGTCCACGTATCATAGTGTTGGTCTGGGCACGCGCTTGCGGGCGTCAAGTTTGGCTGGGGAAACGCGGCGCCGTCGGGACACAGGGCAAAGTGTTTGTGCGGGTACATGCAACTAAACTCACGTCAGTCCAGTGCTTGCAGGTTAGGCCGGCTTCGCAGCAAGTGGTGCCAGTGTAGTGCTGCCCACCGCACTGCTCGTTGAACTTGGCGCACGCCTCGTTCCCGCTGTCACTGCTGTCGTCACTGCTGCTGCTGTCGTCACTGCTGCTGCTGTCGCCACCGCTGTCGTCACTGCTACCACCCTCGGTGGCGCTGGCGCTGGCACTGGCACTGGAGCTACCGCTGTAGCTGTCGTCACTGTCGCCTCCGTCGGAATGCGGCGGCGTCATCACCGCCACCGGGCTCGGGGTTTCCAAACGAGGCGTAGGCGCAGCCTCGGCCTGGGGAGCGGGGGTTGCCTCGCCCACGGGGGCGGGCGTGCCCGGGAAAACCGGCTCGACCACCAACGGTATGGTGCGGCACGCCGTGCCCAGCCCGAAGGCCGCGCAGCCTTCGAGGGCTTCGTCCATCAGGCAGTCCGGGTCGCAGACCAGCTCCAGGCCTTCGTCCTCGAGGGTCGCCCAGTCAGCGGGGGTCATGTACAGCGAGGCCCGCTCGCATGTGAGACAGACTTCGTCGTAGTCGTAGCCCCCGTCGTCGGATTCGTCGTAGTCGTACGAGTAGGAGAACGAAAAGCCGTCGCCGCCGCCCTCGTTAGCAACCAGGGCCTCTGTCGGCGCGGGGGTCGCGGCTGGGGTGGCCGTCGACACGGGAGGGGGGGTGTCGGGTTCTACGGGAGACGGAGATTCTTCGGTGGGGCCGTCTGCAGCAGCGAGAAACAAGCACGGGGGAGGGGAGGGAGGCGGGCGTCTACGAGTGTGGGTGGGTACTTCGGACACCGCAGGGGGGGGTGGGGGCGTTCGTTGGAACCAGAAAAGGCTTGTTGCCGCCACTGCAGATCGACCAGATGAGTTTCTTCGAGAAAACTTCTACTTAAACCGCTGTGTCAAGCTATACAGCAGGGTCGCTTCTCCACGCAAGTCGATCGGGGCTTGTCTAACAACCTGGCCTGTCTTCGCAAACCGAAAACGTGACACTACAACACCATCCAACCTCACCTTCGCGTTATTACCCGCGGGGCATCATACTGCCGGCGAATGCCATGCCCCGGCATTAAAAAAAAACGTAGAAAATTGGCTCCCCCAATGTCTTCACAACAACAACACGAAGCTGTAATACAGACAACCAAGGCCAACGGCCCCGGAAACCCACAGAAATCCACAAGACGGCCAGTCGCATTCTATTTCAGGGCGGTCTACTCGGCTGAAAACACATAAAACCACCAAGTATAGACGCAAGACGCGTGCGACAGCAGTGTGACGAGACAAGCCGGGAAGGCACAGAAAACCAAACAACGACAACGAGTCCAAAAGCAGACGCAAGTCGTATATACGGCGGGGCTGCTATCCCACTGACCGGTCGTGATCGAGATGTCGGAGCAAGACCAGTGCTCTTCCGGGTAGGCGCCGGCCATACCGCACATCCAGTGGTCGGTGTTGATCCACTCCGCCTTGGTCGGGGCGCACTGGCTGGGCCAAGACTCGGGCTCGAAGTCGTCGTAACCCACGTGCTTGCAGGTGTTGCCGGTGTCTGGTGTTGTTGTTGTTGGCCCGTTGAGTCGTTTGTGCCCCAGCATTTGTTGTCGAGAGAGCAGAGGCAGCAAGCAGTGTTTGTTTGAGGCGTGCGCTAGCGGTGGGGGGGGTATTGCGTTGCCAGCAGAAACAAAAAATGATTCTTCTGTGTTCTGTTCTTTCGTTTTCGCATGTGTGCCAAAGGTAACAGCAGTGTATCATAATTGTGGGCAACTATGATGTAGTTTGCTCTGCCGTGGGATCAGATATCGGATCATGATGGGCAACATTAAGGGAAACAACGGCGGAGGGTGGACCCATGAAAGATGGCGGGGGGGGGGGGGGAGCGGGGGGGCAGTACTCAACGCGAGGAGTGCGCGAGATTTTCTCCTGCTTCAACGACAACATGTACTCCTCACAAAAAAAGAATAGACTTGGGTATATAGCGGCAACGACAGTAAAAGAAGTCGGCAGACAAGGCTGCTGCTGGCTGAACTCACAGTGAACCATCTGAAGAACGCAGTGGTCGCACGTCAGTCCCTCCGGGAGCTGGTACTGCATGTTGATCACGTACCCCTCCTGCGCCCCGTCGGGCAGGGCCTCCGGGTGCTCCGTGACGTGGCACGGGGGGTTGACGTAGTAGCGCCCCGGGTAGGCGGGGTCGATGGGGCTGTTGACGTCGTCGCCCTCGGCCCTCGTCAAGGGGTTCATGTTGAAGCACTCCTGGTTCGGCTTCGACGTCGGGCCGAACCTCAAGTCCGCGGAGTTGCAGATGAAGAACTCGAGGTGGCCCTTGAGCAGCAGAACAGGGAGGGTTGGGGGGGCGTACTCATTTGTTGCTTGCCGTAGTCATTTGACCATTGACCACGCGTCCCTTTCGAGACGGAGCACCGTTCCTACACCTACTAGAGACACCACCAACATTTGGGAGCTCTTTACGTTTCTGCCACAAACTCCATAAAAATTTCTTGCACATCTTATCCCCGTCCTCTAGGGCCTCTTGTGCCCACCATCTATCCCCAATTATCGCGATCGTTTTTTCGCTGTTGTCTAATTTACCAAACTTGTCCATGTCACACCCTCTCTGTCTCATTTCCTCCTCGAGATCCTCTCTTTCCTTCCTGTACAACTCACACTCCCCAACTATGTGGGGTCTACTCTCCTCCGATTTGCCACATGGACATGTGTGTCTATCCTCCTCTTCCTCTCTCCTACGGCTGGTATACCTCTTCCTCCGTTCTGGCAAGTCCAGATCGCCTACTCGAAATTGCAATTTCAGCTTTTTCGCATAGTCCATGGGGCCGTCCAAGTACTTCTTCATCCCTATCCCTTCTTTCAACTTCCCGTATATCTCCAAGTGGTCTTCGCTTCGTACCTTCTTGCGAAGGGTTGTCTCCTCCCTACTCTCTAGCATCTCCTTGACTTTCGTCTTGAACCCCCCGAACCCTTCCGTGTCCAACGTCTCCTCCTCGT